CCCCCAGCCATCCCCTCCTTCTATCAAACCACCCCCTTCCCGCTAACAAACCATCCCCAGCTTTCCCCTACCGCTACCAAATTACCTCCATCTTCTCCCTACCGCTACCAAATTACCTCCATCTTCTCCTTCCTGCTACCAAACCATCCCCAGCTCCTTCTCCATTTACCAAACCAGCCTCAGCTCCTCTCTTCTGCTACCAAACCACCCTCAGCTCCACTCTTCTGCTACCAAACCACCCTCAGCTCCACTCTTCTGCTACCAAACCACCCTCAGCTCCACTCTTCTGCTACCAAACCACCCTCAGCTCCACTCTTCTGCTACCAAACCACCCTCAGCTCCTCTCTCTGCTTCCAAACCACCCTCAGCTCCTCTCTTCTGCTACCAAACCACACCAGCTCCACTCTTCTGCTACCAAACCACCCTCAGCTCCACTCTTCTGCTACCAAACCACCCTCAGCTCCTCTCTTCTGCTACCAAACCACCCCAGCTCCACTCTTCTGCTACAAAACCATCCCCCAACTCTCCTCTTCTGCTACCAAACCACCCCAGCTCCACTCTTCTGCTACAAAACCATCCCCAGCTCCCTCTCCATTTACCAAACCACCCTCAGCTCCTCTCTTCTGCTACCCAACCACCCCCCAACTCTCCTCTTCTGCTACCAAACTACCCCCATTTTCCTCATCCCATTATCAATCTGCCTCCACCTTCCTCTCCTGCTACCAAACCATCTCCAGTTTTCCTCTCCTGCTACCTAACACACCCACACCGCTCTACTTACCATTCTCCGAAGAAGAATCTCTGTGTCCCAAGCCGCTGCGATAGGAGGCTGAGACATTCCTGTGCGTCTGTGTACAGCTGTGGGGACACAATCTATTATCAGGAGGAGAAGAGCTGCATTCTCATTCCAACTGCTGCATTCTCTGCATAGGAGGAGCGACACACCTACTCTCTGGTTTCATAATGGCTGTATTGGGATGAAGAGCAGCAATCTCTAGGATGACAATGAGGTCCCCAAGATAGATAAGAAGCCATCAGATGGCAAAAGCACCAATATCCCCCCATAAACTGAGAGATCTGACATAGGTGGGACCTCACACCTCTATAGCAAATCATACGCTCTCACTAACCAATCATACGCTCTCACTATCAATGACTCCTCCCCTCATACCTGTTTCTCCAGCACCTCGTCATCCTCCCTCCAGCTCTCGCCGCGGATGAGCTGGAGGTGCTCCAGATGTCTCTTGTGCATCTGGTTGGGGATGTAGAAGTTGAGCGGGAATGGAATGGCTTCGGCGTACCACTTGCGCGTATGATCCACGTAGTTCTTGGCGTCTACCCAGAATGAGTGGATCTGATGAGATAGAGAGAGAGAGAGCTCCATCAGCTCGAAACAGGCAGAGGGTTTCAAAATGGCTGAAGTGATCAGCTTGGCCACACTCATCCTGAATAACCGGCTTGCAGCCTCTTAGGTAACAGAGGGTAGTCCATGCTTGAATGACATACAGTCATTGATTTAAAACAATACCTGACTTGTGGCCAATGTCAGGCCATAGCTGGAAATATGGGAATCATACTGAGGGGTATATGGCCCCAGAAAGGGTCCTTTGTATAATAAAAATCCACCCGCTCCACCATTAATCACACTTACCAGAGCTGGCAAAAGTTTCTCCTCCAGAAGGGAGATGAAGGCCAGGGTATCCGCTCCCTGTCTAGCCGACAGGTCGTAATCTGCGTTGTACTTCTAGACCGGAGATGGAAAGAGAGACAGACATTTGTTAAATCCAGAACAGCTACTTCCAGAGCCTGTCCTGTCATGTGACCTCTCGTCAACGGTCTGCCTCGAAACAAGAACTCAACAGCATCTGTATCTCCTCTTCATGTGTTGGGGAATTGGCCAATATTCAAGCATGTGCCTGAAGTCCTCACAGACCATGGGTCCCTGCCCCAACATTACAACATGAGGACTTACAGCACAGCTCATGGATAAGGTCTTAACTGCATGATGGGATAGCCAATCAGTTATGGCTCCCCACTTGGGGAGTTAAAGGAACCCCACCAATTCCCAAAATCTTTTCTTGGGTGCAAATGGCAACCACAGTCTCATGGGGGATACCCACTTGCTGACCTATAGAGGACTGTGGTCATTGCATTGTGGGATGTGGGGAGCGTGCCAGAGCTCTGACATTCTCAGAGTGAACCAATTAAAAGCCCTTGTTGCCCTTGTATGTTCTTCCCAATATCAAACTCAACCCAGAAACAAGGGCAGGGCCACCCGACTTGAACCAACACAGGCCCTCTGTACACCAGACATTCTCAAACTCATCCTCAGGCTTGAGCAATTCTCTCCACCTGGGAGGAGATCTTGAACCCACAAAATGTTGACGCCTGCGGACAGGCATACATACAGCAGAGTAACCTATGACCTCATATACAAGCTCCTGTGTGATTATTGACTCACCTGCTTCCTGAGATGGGTAATAATTTTGGCGGGCTGGAAGAGAACGCCGTCGTTTGGTGTTTTCAGGGCCGGCAGCTTACCTGGGGAAGAGACAAGGCTGGGTCAGGACCGGTAGAGAGGACCAGATGTCACATTTCAATGTAGGGGTGAGCCAGGCCTACCTGACGGGCTCCTCCAGGGGTTGGACAGCTTGTGGACCTTCAGAGGTGCTCCGGAGAACCTGGCGTAAGTCTGGGAAGAGAAAAGAAAAAGGTTCTTGAAGGTCGTGGATGACATCGGACGGGGTGCGATGCTCAGCTCAGAGGACCTGGGAGAGTCACGCCGGGTCGCCTGGCTGCGCGGCCAATGAGGTCATACGTGTAACGGGACTCCACCATTGCGGAGAAAGCGGAATCCCCTTCTGCTGCCAAGTCAGCAGCCACAACCATTAATGTGTTTATTTCTAGATGGGGTTTCCTGCTCACAGAGGCCAGGGAGCTCCTGCGGTTTATGGAACGCCTTATCTAATGAATATTTCTGTCATCTGACACCGGACCGGGCCTACAGCGAGCTCGGCACCCGCGCCAAGTGCTGGGACTCCGCCACCAATTATACAATCCGACGTAATGTGTTCAACAGAGAAGCTGGAAAGGGAATGTATGACTTCACCCAACACAAATGGTTGCGGGTTACAAAGACATTCTGGGATTAAAAGGAAAAGTGCAGAATTCACCCCAAGTACCCCGTGAGCATCAAACTTGGGGGGGGGGGGGGGGCCCCCCCCCCCCCTTTCC